TCGCGTACAACCCTTCCGTACCGATGCGCAGTTCGCAGTTATATCCCCTGTCCTCCAAAGTAGAAAACTCTCCGGTCGCGATATTTGCATAGGATGCGGCGTTTACCATTAAGATATAATTCATAATTACGACAGGGAACGTGTTCGGGCAGGAGCGGTATGCAAAGCGAACTTATTCCGGAATCAAATTACGTTGAATACGTCTCGGTTAATTGCCTATTCTCACTGACAAACAAGCAACGACATGTGTACTGGACGACTCGAGCATGCGCACAGACTATTATGACCCTTAATGAATTTGATGCAAATTTCAACAATTAACCCATAAATTTCTCTTCTGCAAGGAACAACAAAAACTTACCATTTAAAAAAATTAATAAAACATTGCAAGTATGCAACCGACATCACAGTATTTTTATTGCAATACGCGATTTGCGTATGATGCTTATTGCACTGTGATATTGGTTGCATACTTGCAATGATATTATTTTTTTCTAGTAAATACAATTTTAATGATAGGTTAAATTTGGTTGTTAAAGTGGTTTAGAACATGTTGTGGTTCCCAGGGTAGTAAAAAAAAGCTCTTGGTGGGTGATTTTAAGTGATTGTGCGGTATTTTTTTGAAATCACGATAATACGAATATAATTCACCGAGGAGCGGGTCACGATAGAGCGCGACACGTACTTCGATCAGTAATGGGCCCTTTTAAAATTGAATTAATAGAACAAATCGTTCGGGATTTATTTGTGCGACCACGCGCGCCTAGTTAGATTTAATTGCGAACGGCCGCGCGGCCGCATAAATGTATTTAACATTAATCGCCGTTTGAATTGTGGACGGACACGGCGTACCTTATTAAGCTAGCAGTTCATCACAGTGGTAAAACCGTGGTCAGACTCGATACGAGGGGGTTTAATATTAATCTGATTGCGCGATAAGTCCACGGTACGCGTTCGGAATACAAATCATTTCCCATTGATCGGAAACATGCTCGCGGAGATAGCGGTAATTGGAACGATTTTCGGGTCGAAAACCGAAAGGCGATTAGGCGAGAAGGAGTCATGTCCTGCCATTAGCAGCATTGTGCGCGATCTCGTCAGAAAACCAGCGAGACGTGCGCCCCCACAATGGGGGTGGCGAACCGATACCCCCGGGACGTCGCGACCCACTGATTTTAAATAATTAATTCAAAGCACTCTAATTAGCCTACCCAGGATCACGGAGAAGCGCTCTAATTGCATTTTTTCGGCGCCGATTCTCCCGCAAATATTCGAGAGCGATTAGCGTAAACTTCTCGATCCTTTACCCTGACAAACTCACTATCACCCCCCCGGGCCTTCCACCTCTTTGTTCCTCCTTCTGTTTACACGTCACTTATCTTATTTGCGTTAGACGCAACCACAACATCTCGTTACTTCAAGCTTACGACTCAATAATTTTCATCCCATACAAAGTTAATCCATATAATTATTAAATTTATCAACAATTTAGATACTAGTTAAATTAATTTGTCATTTACATTTATACATTTATTCGTGACTAACATCGAAGGAACTCGACATAATTCTGATGCCGTGCAAAATCGGTGAATCACCTACAACGGTGATTTACCTATCGAAAATTTCAGTGGGTTGTAACCGTTAATTTTTAATGTTGCAAAATTGTCGTGTGATTTTGGATTCGTGTCTCGACCAATTAAATTGTAATCCTTTGTTTGTGCGACACAAAACAAAAAAAAACTTTGAGTTTAAAAAAAATTCTTTTTAAATAAATTTTGCTGGCCGTAAAATTAATCGAACTTATGCATTCGTTGCCGTCGTGGCCGATCGATTTTGCGGGGTATGCGTTTTCATTTTACAGACGTTAACCTCTTTGTTCATCACACAAAGGCCAACGAATACGTCCGAGTTGTACGACACGAAATAAATAAAATAAACACACTGTAAGTATGACCGTGACCAAAAAAAATGGTTATATAATGTACGGAACGCGGACCCCTCCGTTTCTCAATGGCTTAATGCCGCTTGCTGCAGGTATATTTCAAATGTGTATCGTTATTCTTTGTATCCTTTGTACGTGTGAGGCCCTCGCAAGAGGGTGACTCATTCAAATTGCTTAGGGCGTTACAACTTACTTAGTCATCATAGCTTTTACAAAATTATTCTTAAATTTCAAATTAATATTTAAAACTAATATCTAAAAGAATAGAAAATAGCCCAAGAAACATCTTTTTCCCATTGCCAAATTTCAATTCGTTGCATTTTGTACTTCATTTTGTAACAAAAAAGATTTTGGAGAAAATAGATCTACGAAATCTTTCAAGAAACATTTTTTTTACATTGCCAAATTTCGATTCCATGTATTCGTTGCATTCTGTAGTTGATTTTGCAATAAAAATTTGATAAATCTGCCAAGAAAAATTCTATTGTGCACAATCATAAGCTATATATATATATGTTTTGTAACATGATATAGTTTGTTAATAATAAGGGTAAACGGGATGGGATAGTTGGGAAACGGGAATAGGGCGATGGCGTGTCGTTTGCACGTGTTCCCATTGTGTTCAGGCTGGCCATTACGAGAATATTTAATGCCGTTTCGCTCCTGAATGTACAAAGTAATAATTTAGAAGAAACTGTTAAAAACCGCCGACGATAAAAGTCGCTTAAAGCGTATTTATACGTTTCCCCTCCCGGTGGAGAGAGCAACAGGAGCCCGAAATATATCAGGTTCGTAAATTTGTCCACGGGTTGAGTGCGTATAGTTAAAGCGTTAAAGGTTAGGTAAGTTGGATGTAACGAACCGACAATCGTGTTTATGGAAACGGAATTCTACAAACAAGCAGAGCGTCGTTGTGATTCACCCTCCCATTGTAACTAACCCCTATGGTTTTCCGTTAAAAAAGCATCGATCGAATAGTTTGCCCGTTCCGTGGCCGCAGGGTCTTTTTCTGCGCTCGGCGGACGCACAACAGGTGTGCGACCTGTCCTATTTTCCGTTTTTTTTTCTGTTCTCCCCGCGTCGGGGCTAGAAATTTTCATAATTGCGTAACCTGTATTCCGGATTACGAAGGGGCCGCTCTAAACCTATTCGGACTGGTTTATCAGTTTTTTTTTCATACAATCGGAGGGGTCCGGCCAAAGCAACTAGTTAATAGGTATTAAATTACGTCCCAATTAAACGAAACAATGAAGTGGACGCTTTTTAAAGCCATTATTAGTCGGGAGGAAGATGACTTATGCTGGCCAACGTCGTCGTTGCCAATTATATTACGTATATGCGGGCGAGGCGCACGCCATGCAAATTACAGCGAGCTTCGCTGGTCACTATTTAGTACCCAGCGTTTGATTAATTTCGAATCAGAACCATTGTCCATTGTAAACTGCCCCTATTCTGAGCTGTTTACTTGACATCTAATTGTATCACCAATGACAAGGCTATATATATTTTTTTAAATTTAATAATATTTAAACTAAAATTAGAACTAATTCAAGATCGCTAAACCAGAATGATTCTAGTTCTAGGTCTTGTGTTAGTTTTAGTGATAGTGCTAATGCAAAACTAAAACTAACACTAGACCTAGAACTAGAAAGTTTCGCTAGTTCTAGGTCTAGTGTTAGTTCTAGTTTTAATTGTTAAACAGCGCTAGAACAAGAACTAGAATCATTCGGGTTTAGCCGTCTTGAGAGACGTTCGGCTAAACCAGAATGTTTCTAGTTCTAGGTGTAGTGTTAGTTCTAGTAACAGTGCTAGTGTAAAACTAGAACTAACACTATACCTAGAACTAGAATCATATGGGTTTAGCCGTCTTTAGAGACGTGCGGCTAAACCCAAATGATTCTAGTTCTAGGTCTAGTGTTAGTTCTAGTTTTAATTGTGATTCAGTGCTAGGTTGTTATATATTTTTATTGAACTAACACTAGACCTAGAACTAAAAACATTCGGGTTTAGCCGCACGTCTCTCAAGACGGCTAAACCCGAATGCTTCTAGTTCTAGGTCTAGTGTTACTTCCAGTGATCTAACACTAGTGCTGTCACTAGCACTAACACTAAACCTAGAACTATAACGTTTCGGGTTTATATATATTATATTATATATTATATATATTCGGGTCTATACATATGTATATATATATAAATGTAAAAGATGATAATCACGAAGCAATGTAAAAATGAAAAAAAAGATAGTCCGCCACCGGGGATTGTTAATTTCGAAGTGAGGCATAATTGGATTATAGGAATATGCGTTTTGCACTAGCAGTGTCACTAAAACTAATACAAGACCTAGAACTAGAATCATTCGGGTTTAGCCGTCTTAAGAGACGTGCGGCTAAACCCGAATGTTTCTAGTTCTAGGTCTTGTGTTAGTTCTAGTGATAGTGCTAGTGCAAAACTAGAACTATAAATATTCGGATTTAGCCGTGCGTTTTTTGAAAAAATGTTTGACGTTACGGATGCCATGTAGCAACGTTCGAAAGTGATATAAGATATTAATAATATTTAATACATATAAAATTGATTAATTATAGTTACGAGTCCATTACATGTATTACATTTGGAATAGTGGAATTGTATATTATAGCGTATAGTAACACAATTAATTACACTGTCAATCGGAGTAAGTTGGAGCGCCTATACAGGAGCACTCCGGATCTTAACCAAGCGAAGAACATGCAAATGCGGGCAGTTAGGACAATCGCTCCTGTATATCACGCGCCGGGCCATTGATGTCTCAATATCATTATTCAGGACCGTACCGGGGATAATCCTTAGTCCGACAATAAGCCGGGCGCATTAGTTCTTAGTGGGGGCGGTTCGGTCCGTAATTAAATCTCCTAATCAACACGGTCATTCGTTACGATACGACCTCAGCTCAGGTTGGTCGTATCGTAACGATTCGGACCGCGGACAGCGTCGTCGTCCCCGATGGCCCATTTATACGGATTTCGGACGGGCCGAGGTTTAATAATCGAATAAATAAACAATGACGGTGACTCACCAGCGATTCGTTGGATAACCGTAGGCCGTCGGCTATGTGACGAAGATCGCATCCCATTTGCATCCAGTCGGTGGCCGAATTTCGACGACCTCCTGACGGTGGCGTTAGACGATCCACCTCTGTAACGAATAAATAAAGATCAAATTGGTGCACGAATTGACAGGGCGCGTGCGCAACGAATGAAAACGGGTATTAGGGGCGATATGAAATCGGACCGGTGTTCATTTCACGGTTCGCGCGGTAAGGCGCTTATCCGCGATGTTTTAATTAAACCGTTCGAACGGCATAGATTTTTGAAACGAGTTTTGTGAGGAGACTGCCGCCAGGGGGGGCGGCTTAGCCAACCCGGGGTAATTAACTGGGAATCCCTACACAGTAAACGGCGACAGACAACGTGACAGTTCGAGGTGACTCCCGCGACACCGAATCATTAATTTATTTTGCAAATCAGCTTACTTTCAGTTCGGCCGCCCCTCGTTATTAGGGGGCGGCGAGTTTCGGCGTGTCCCAGCAAGAGGCTAATCCCCGAACACCACCGCGGCTTCGTACTAATTAACCCCTTCCCGTCCAAATCCTACTTAAGACGCTTGTTACTTTTACTCCCCCGGTTACAAAGAAGAACCCTTTGCAGACTCAGTTTCGAAGATGAGAGTGTCCTCCCGGATACGATCCATTTCTCTTCGTGACAATCCAATATAAAAAGGAGCCGTCAAGGGCGGGTTAGTTAGTTTAATGCGTTATTGCGGTCCGTATCAAGAGAAACAATGATATATGATGGCGACTGATTAATGATGCCGAGATATCTGCGAAAAAAAGGAAAAGGAAGCGGCCGAGGGCGGACCGACATCTGAAGGGTCCCCTTTCGGCCCAATCGGCTTAAAAACAAATGCAAAGCGGGGGGAACGCGACTGTGGGGAAATTTTTATCGAAGTGCGTGCTATAAATCACGCAAATTTTTACGTTGTCTCCGCTCTCGAAGATGATAAACCGACGCCCGGCTCGTGAATAAGGATAAATTGCTCGAAATATCTTGACGCATAAACGCAAGACCGTGACGGAGCCGTCTCCCGCTTTATGGGGCACTTTCGAGGTTTATGCAAAGAGACGCGACTCCCGCAATATTTTAAAGTCGCCAGACACACCACCGTTTCCATTGCGTATTTTTCAACAAAATTCTCTATATTCCCACACATAAACTTTTTTTGAGGAAATATCTCTTAAAAAAAAAATAGCTAAAATATACCAAAAATACAACATTATCGCAACACAAGAAAAATCATTGTTTCAATTCTCGTTAACTCGAAAAGATATATCTAAGTGGTTGATAATCAATTTCCGGAGTTCCGGGTAATGTAAATATCAATTTAGCGCGTTGCGGTTCAAATATTTGTATACGTAATCAGGCGGTACTCGATTATGAATCAATTATCGGGCCCCTTTTCGCGGCGAGCGTCGAACGCACTTAGTAAATTAGATGCGCCGCGATGATAAACGGGCGTCCGCGACCGAATCCGGGGGTCGCCCCGATATTTATGACAACTATGCTCGGGTATTTGTTAAGTGTCAATGGATAATTCGGTGCGAGAAAGGATCATTTTTAATGGCGCCGACGTGAATGGAACCTTCCCGGGCCGCGTCAGACCCGCCGAGAAATTAATTGAAAACGACAGACTGTATTAATCCGGGGCCCCGGCGCGGACCCCGTTAAATTAAGCATATTCCTATAATCCAATTATGCCTCACTTCGAAATTAACAATCCCCGGTGGCGGACTATCTTTTTTTTCATTTTTACATTGCTTCGTGATTATCATCTTTTACATTTATATATATATACATATATATAGACCCGAATATATATAATATATAATATAATATATATAAACCCGAAACGTTATAGTTCTAGGTTTAGTGTTAGTGCTAGTGACAGCACTAGTGTTAGATCACTGGAACTAACACTAGACCTAGAACTAGAAGCATTCGGGTTTAGCCGCACGTCTCTCAAGACGGCTAAACCCGAATGTTTCTAGTTCTAGGTCTAGTGTTAGTTCTAGTTTTACACTAGCACTATCACTAGAACTAACACAAGACCTAGAACTAGAATCATTCGGGTTTAGCCGTCTTAAGAGACGTGCGGCTAAATCCGAATGATTCTAGTTCTAGGTCTAGTGTTAGTTCTAGTTTTGGACTAGAACTATCACTAAAACTAACACAAGACCTAGAACTAGAATCATTCGGGTTTAGCCGTCTTAAGAAACGTGCGGCTAAACCCGAATGTTTCTAGTTCTCGGTCTGGTGTTAGTTTTAGTTTTGCACTAGCACTATTACTAGAACTAACACAAGACCTAGAACTAGAAAAATTCGGGTTTAGCCGCACGTCTCTTAAGACGGCTAAACCCGAATGATTCTAGTTCTAGGTCTAATGTTAGTTCTAGTTTTGCACTAGCAGTGTCACTAAAACTAATACAAGACCTAGAACTAGAATCATTCGGCTTTAGCCGTCTTGAGAGACGTGTAGTAATAGTGCTAGTGCAATACTAGAACTAACACCAGACCGAGAACTAGAAACATTCGGATTTAGCCGCACGTCTCTCAAGACGGCTAAACCCGAATGATTCTAGTTCTAGGTCTTGTGTTAGTTCTAGTGATAGTGCTAGTGTAAAACTAGAACTAACACTAGACCTAGAACTAGAATCATTCGGGTTTAGCCGTCTTGAGAGACGTGCGGCTAAATCCGAATGTTTCTAGTTCTTGGTCTAGTGTTAGTTCTAGTTTTGCACTAGCACTATCACTAGAACTAACACAAGACCTAGAACTAGAATCATTCGGGTTTAGCCGTCTTAAGAGACGTGCGGCTGAATCCGAAGGATTCTAGTTCTAGGTCTTGTGTTAGTTCTAGTGATAGTGCTAGTGCAAAAGTTAGATCACTAGATCCAATACTAGACCTAGAAACATTCGCACCTAAATGTTTCTAGTTCTAGGTCTAGTGTTAGTTTTAGTTTTAGTTCAATGAAAAATATACAACAATCTATCGGTGAGTAAGTGTCTAAAAGTGATAGGCGTTTTTATTCGAGTATGAAGATGAAGAAGAATAGATAGTAGTTAAAAACGATTTAAGTGATTCGGCTGATTTGAAAATGTATATAGTAAAGTGATGTTTGGAGAGGTTTTCGGTTGGAGGATTACGAGGAAAAATGGAAATGGTGTCGTAATCCGTCGTGGAGGGCAGAAAATCGGAGTTGCCTTATCATTCCGTTATAATTAGTTCGGTGCGAACGTAAAAAACGAGACAATCTCCAGAGCTGGGGATTAAGGGTGACTGTTTTTGATTTATGGCCTACGACGCGGCAAAGTGACGCACCCGGGAGGAAGCGACGCGATCTCGGGGCGCGCGCGAGAATTAAATATGCGAACGCAATTCCGGGTTGAAACTCCGGGGGGAGAATCGCGGTCCGTGAGAGCACTTAATCAATCACGGGCCGGCAACGAAGATAACGAACAAAGCGCGGAATTACCAGATGACACCCGTAATCGTGGAGTCAAATGGGACGCCGCCGCATGATTTATAGAGCGGGCGAAGCGTTACCTAACGCACAATGCTGCCCCCTAAGTGCAGTTGCCGAACTCGCCGCGGCTGGACTTGGTGATTTAATTACCAAATGCGTTTCATTAGTCGCTTCCGGGTGAGAGGATTGTCGTTGAGATCTACTGATAAATTTGCGCCCATTGTACTGGATTCCACGCTTCTTAATCCGCTAAACTGACCCGTAAACTCGCTATTGTCCTTCCGGGTAACCCCCCATCTGACTTGCAAATCTGGAACGACCGAAAAACGGTCTCGGAATCCGATCTAAACTTGAATTTACGCGAGATTTCGGATGGAAGAGATTCGAGATTGGAGCGGTCCGAATCAATTGTAAGCAAACAATTTCCGGAATATCCGGATCCCGATTTTCTTGTTACCGTCTTACCCGGAAATGCGGAAGGGCTGGAAAATAATATTCGGGTATGCCGGGGTGGCATTTTATGGGACTCGTAACGCGGCGCTCAGGTGTCCATGCTCCCAGGGAGGCGATAACGGGGATAAGCGTCGCTCCTGCCACAGGTCCCGGAGCTTAATCGGACCAGTTCATACCGGGATATATTGCGAAATATCATATCCTCGCGTCAAACCGAACGGTAATGATTGGCATAAATTCCGCGTAACGAACGCGTTTCGCCGCAATAAAAAGGAATTTTCGTTTTACCCGTCGCCCGAATGCAAATGTGCCACCCCCTTATTTTCCCGAACGGTAATGAGCGCTCTGGCAATCAAGTCAGCGATTTGTCTTACCCGTGCGTGTCGTGACATTTTGCGCCCCCATATCGGACGGGGGTGTGTAGACTGTCGCTCAAATCAACTCGACGACTAAAATATTACCACTTTTCTTCCACCCTGACCGTTATTAATTGTCGCGTTGCTCACAGAACCCAAACAAACTTTGATTTCTTTACGCCCCCATACACTGTGTGACTTAATCGCTTATTTTCATATCTCTTTAATCATATCTAATCTAACTTTACAATAAAATTAAACATTTTGATTTATTCAAACATTGTCCGCAAAGATGTAAAGAAGCCACAAAAAAGTAACACTCTGTTTAGTAAGTTTAGTCCTTGGAGAAAAGGCATTAGGTCGAGGAAATTTTTGAATAGGTCGTATCAATCACTCGGGTGACATCGATTCATCAGGGCGTTGCGTCTTCAACGCCGCGTCCTTAATCAGCTATTCAGTTGCAAATGCCCGGATCGAGATCGATGAGCTTCCGGGAGGCCGCGGAAGGGTTTCCGGATCTCATCGATGACTCACGGAGACGCGCGACGCCCCCATTATCATGTTAACCGACGTCAAAACGTCGGGGGTCACTACCCCGGGGGGTTCCCAAAAAAACAAAAGACCGACCGACGGTCACTCACGTTTTCGATCATCCCTTTTTTGTTATCATCGCAACTGATCTAAATTGAAAAGATTCGGTGAGGATTAAAAATATCACTTGTTTTAGGTTTAGTGTAATATGTACCATCAAATTTAGGGGGTATCTTGGATAGTGGCCGTTTGCCCGGATGGAGATTACTGCGGTG